TCTCTCTCTCTCTCTCTGCTGACCCCAGCGGCGAGGTGTCTCCATCACCAAACTGAGGCCCAGATACCACACAAAGGGTCGGACACCTCTCAGCTTCACAGCACGGCTCTCTGTATGGGAAGGCAACAGCGGGACACTGATTAGAAGATGAACTATAGCAGCGTTTAATATTGATTATTCTGCCATCTTTAAAACATTTCTATGACTTGCTGTCCTTTTTCCACCTGTCAGCATGTAGTTGCCATAATGACACTTAAACTGCATAAAACTGACGGCTTCAAGTGGCCTCCAGTTAACATCCTGCTATTTTCTAAATTTAAGGGCTTCTGGATAATGTGACGGTGCTCATTGGTATCGCATACGGAGGCAGAGCTATTGCAGGTGTCATCAACCAGCCTTTCTACAACTACCAGGTACAGACCGAACTAAATGACCTTGTGTCCTAAAAGCTGTCACTCTCTGGTTAATTCAAACGTTCTCCTCGTCAGCTTGGAGCGGGAGCAGATTTAGGAAGGACCATATGGGGAATGCCGGGACTGGGCGCCTTTGGATTCCAGCTGCAGGAAGTTCCAGGTGATAGACGTATAGTCACCACCACACGTTCCCATAGCAACAAGGTGGTAACGGACTGTGTAGACGCCATGGAGCCTCATGAAGTTATTAGAGTGGGAGGCGCTGGAAACAAGGTGAGATGAATTTAGAGTTAACGACACACACTACACTGGGATTTTATTCCTCTCGTTCAGTCCCTTTTATGGATGACTTGTACATACAGCCTAGTCGTGGTTTCTGATGCTGATCTGAAATGACTGAGAGCTAACTTTAAACAGAAACTTTTACTGCTCCAAACATCTGCCATCAGAAGAATCTGTGAAAGCTTTAGATCAGTATGTGCTGATAAATCAGTGTAGCAAAATTGTTGTCAAATTTGATCCATACAAAGTGAAATGGAGGCTGATAATCTCCTCCTTAATGTTCTTTTTGTGTTTATAGTAGTTTTTTATATTTATATATATATATATATATATATATATATATTAGTATATATAGTTTATAGTAACCACAGCAATGTGCTGATGATGTAAAATGTCACAAAAATAGTTATTTATGTGCAGATGTGCGCAGATAAATGGCTGGGACCCAGTGAAAGAGGGCTACACGGGCACAAGGTGGTGCATCTTTCACTGATGCTCGCTGCCTCCTGGCTGTTGTTCAGCCTGGAGCGGATTTCTGAGCTGACTGACTAAAAGCTATTTGGTTATTACATCATTATTAAACCCTTTCTTTTCTGGCATCCAAATGTATGTGCAGGTCCTGGTAATAGCAAGGAAATTATCTCCAAAATGAGCTAGTAGTTAGTTAACACTTTTGTTGTTTTGACATTAATTACAAAAAAGATGACTCAAAATGTTTATTTTTGTTGTTTTTAGTAATGATGAGTATTTAAAATAAGTATTGTAATAAAATATTATATTTAGGATCAATGTGATTACTGCTGGCCTCTGTGGGTCCCCAAGCAGCTGTTATAGCTGTTCATGTGTCATAATTCTTATTCCCTCAGAGTGATAAACATCGATATGTGTTTATTTTTCGACTCCTCTCTCTGCAGATAATCCAGCTCATTGAAGGAAGGGCTTCTGCTTATGTCTTCGCCAGTCCAGGGTGCAAGAAGTGGGACACCTGCGCTCCTGAAGCCATTCTGAGCGCTGTCGGAGGTAAAAAAAAAAGCAGCAGAGAAAGTTTTGTAGTCTTTGTGTGTCTCTGTGTACAAACTATAGAGAATGCATCTTTATAATTACATTTGCAGTTTACTCATCTAAAATGTTTTTTTTACTCATCCTTTCTTTTTCTTGTGCAGGTAAACTGACTGACATGCATGGCAATGCATACTGCTACCATGCTAATGTAAAGCACATGAATTCTGCTGGCGTTCTTGCTACACTACGTAACCACAAGTACTATGTCAACAGAGTACCACAGTCAGTGCTGCAGGCCCTCAAGTCAGACTGAAGTCCGTCTCCATCACAATCACACTAATCATGTCTGTTGGTGGTAGAGACATATTCCTCAACACACGTGTAGAAATGTAATAAAATCTATTTTATAATTTTTTTTTTTAAATCTGATTTTCTGTTTTTAGCAAAACATTAAAAATAAATTGTTGTATGTAAGACATGTTTATTCCAGTGCCTAAAACTGACCGTGATGATTTCAGAGTTGGATTGGACATAGTAAACTACTGTGTCGGTCAACACTTAATCAAACACCAGAAACAAACAGAGAGCAGACTCAACAGCACTTCCATTTATTTCACTCATTTGAAACAAACTCGTACAAATCTCAAAACGTCTTAACATACTGTTTCCAACTTGAAGACCAATAGATTTACAAGGCAAAAGGTTTAAATTTTAAATAAATAAAAATACATCGGTTAAATGCTCATTTAGTGAGTTGGAAATGATTTACTTTTCAATCCGATAACCACAAAGTGGGAACAACAAACAAAATGCCACCGTCTTGACTTGATGATTTGGACCTCTTTACAATGTCATGCAATGACTGGAAGAGCAACAATGTTCAGCATGTGAGAGCTTGACATCTACTGAAAAAATGAATATACTGCTAACTATTCTTTCTAATCCTTTTTCTGTTGTTGTGTTCTTTACATTTCTTTTATATACCTTCTTCTGCACCAACATATCCGTCTCTACTTTTCTAAACACCTACTGCACTTACCAGACTAAAGGACACAAACTCGTACTGCTCACTGATGTTTGGTTCCCACAGTTTCCACATACACTGAATTTACATCAAAACTGAAGATGCAATGTTTACGCTTTTGCATTACTTAATGGAAATTCTGCTCTTTAACAACCAAAAGCACTCCTTCAGCGATGTGAGGGATTAAAAAAAAAGTTTCAGAGCTGGAAACACTAAATGTAGATCTACTGTGTGTGAATGCTCTAATAAAAAGGTACAGCACAGGTTGGCTGTGTCCTTTTTTTGAAGTAGGCTTTAATGGCCTTTAAAACGTTTATGCTTGCATATAGCAAGATTTTAAGCAATATTTATTGCACTGATATTGTCAAAATCTCAGGTTTTTATTGATCCCTCCATGGGGAGAAAAACATTCTTGAGTCAAAGGGAAGGTCATTGCAATGTCTAACTTCTTAAAGGAAAAATTTTGCAAGAATGCGACTAAGCATATTTCCCAAAAAGGAGTTTGATGAGAAGACAGATACTTCATGTCTGGGCGGCTACAGGTAACCCAGCTCTGTCTAAAGGTAACAAAATCCATAATTAACATGTTATATCTTGTTTGTTTAATATATACAAAAACCCAAAGTGTAAAAATGAGTTTTACGGATGTTAATGTAAAATGTAGATTTGTTTGTTTGTTTTTTTTTTGTTTTTACACTTGATTTTTTTACAGTTTGAATAAACAAGATATAAAATGTTGATTAAAGAGATCTTAAGTGGATTTTGTTACCGTTGGACGGAGCTAAGTGACCCGTTTCCGCCTGCGTACAGTCTTTTTGCTAAGCCAAGTTAGCCGGCTGCTGGTGGTAGTTTTATATTTGACAGACATGAAAGTTGTTGTAATCTTCTCATCAAACTCAGAAAGCAAATAAGCGTATTTCCCAAAATGTCAAACTATTCCTTTAAGCAGTGTCCTACTTCAGCCAATATAAAAGGGGGCAATGGCAGTAATTAGGTTAATTACATGAACATTAGACAAATCAAGGTAAGACAAGAAACAACTGACCCTTCCTAAGTCCCGCCCTTTTTTGCTCTGTGCTCCAATAACAACTTTCTCCTTTAGATATGCTACGTGCTAGGCTTGTCTTTAAAAGGCAGCCACATTCACAGTCACACCTTAAGTTAGCCAATGTTAGCAAAACGTGAGCTAACGACTGGTGTAAATTAGCTAGCTAGTTAGCTCACATTTTGCTAACATTAGCTTTCAGCTGTGACTAGTTAACTAACAGTTGATGTAAATTAGCTAGCGTTTTGCTAACATTAGTTACCTAACTTAATATGCGATTATATTTATATAGACGAGCCTAGCACATAGCATATCTAGTTACAGGAAAGGAGAAAGTTGACCAACGTTGAGGTTTGCTCAGCTGTTATTGGAGCACAGAGCAAAAAGAGGCGGGACTTAGGAAGGATCAATTGACTGCTGTCTGGGAGAATTTATGTATTTTACATTGGAAAGGGCTTCTCAGTCTCACAAAGCGTGCATGCATTCACAAAATCACTATGGAAATTGTTAATTTGAAGGCAGAGAAGCATCTTTTCTAAACATCTTACCCATTCCACAAAAGGTTGGTTTTAATATTGCTGAATGGACTGAGTAGTAGAAGTGAGGGCTGAGTTAATACATACCATGGCATCAAAAGAAATGGAAAAGAAATACCACTCGCATGTTCATAAAAATACCCACAGAACAAGCAAAAAACACTCCTGGAGTTTTGTTTACACATGAACAAGCTGACTGAGAGAGGGCTGGAGTGTTTGAGGCAGCCTGCAGGGGACATGGGCCAGAGACCAGCCGGGGGAGGAGCAGAGGAGTCAGGGCCAGCCGCTCACCTCTTTTTTGGTGCCTGAGTGGTGCGAGGCGGGGTGACAGGGCGTCCTGAATTCACCCCTCCATACTGGTACTTTGCTTTTTTTTCTGACGGCTTCAGGATCTGAAAGAAAAGACGATGGTGATATTATAAAAAAGCACATAAATCAGGATTGTGGTACAACAAACACTGAGCGCTCTACCTGAAAGGAGCACATAAGGGACTCGTCCACACTCATCATGCCGCCTGCGTTGTCAAACTCGCCGCAGTAGTTTGGGGCGGAGAACAGCGTCACCAGCTGCCGTTTGGCAAAGAACTCATAGCCGTCTTCAACAACCTGTAATGTGACAGCAGGGATTAGAGCTGAAACAATTATTTGGCAAGAAATTTGCCAAAAAACCCACTGGTTCGAGCTTGCAAATGTGAATTTTGCAATTTTTGAATTGTTGGTCAGAAAAATAGGAAATTATAATATCTTATTTTGGGTTTGAGGAACTTTTGATTTAAATTTTTCTGTATTTTCCGGCATTTTACCCATCAAACGATTAATCAAGAAAATAATCATTACTGTCAGCCCTAAGCAGGATAATGAAAAGTTTTATGTTTATATATACTACTAGCTAATATTCAAGAATGCACTTAAAGTATATAGTGTCTATGTGACAAAGAAACTACAGCCTAGAGCGGCACTACTAGGGTCAAACTGTAATTACAATTAGGGTTGGACTACATGGCAATATATGGTGAGATTTGTCAGCAGTACTTTGATTTGAGTATTTAATTTATGTTTTTTTTTTTCACAATTAGTTTATGGTTAGAAAAGATACTGTGTATTTTAAATTAACAGAAACTATCCTAACTAACCATCAACAAGACTGCACAAATCATGAAAATGAGTCTCTTCTTTTTTTTTTTACATTTTATTTATTTTGTTTATTTTCCAAATTTGTTAATCTTTATTTATTGAATTGCTTGGACTTTTTATTATTTTTCTTATTCTGTACAGCACTTTGGTCCAGTGATAGCCTGTGTTTAAATGTGCTTTATAAATAAACTTTACTTACTTACTTTTAAACTGAACTCAGTGACAATAAAAGTCTATTTCTGTTTCTTATATTTGCTGAAATGTATTGTAATAAACATTCTCTGCACCGTCCTGTTAAGTTGTTAAAATAAAGTTAAATTCTCCACGGTGATATTTTGAACGTAGCCCTTCATCACAAAGTAGCACAAATTTATACCTGATGTGCTCGGCAGATGAGGTCCAGGTCGTGACGGTTGAGAAACTTGCTGACCACATCGGCCCCGAAGGTGAAGGAAACTCCCCGATCGTTCTCCCCCCAGCCCTGGACGTCTTTGTCTGGGTCCGACCACAGCAGGTCACACAGCAAACCTGGAGAAGCATTGAGCAGTCAGAAACACAAACAGTTAGGTCAATGTTGTAAGACCATGTTCTTTTTTCTTTCTCTTTTCACTGTAGGTCTTGTGAAGCCCTTAGACTTCAGAATATGCCTGAATTACCAGCTGTATCAGTTTAGGTTGAGAAAAAAAGATACTAATAGCATTATTTCTGTAAAGCTTATGATGCAATCTGCTGATCAAGACTGTGTCCTCCTTTTTAGTTCAGTAACACCAACACACAGAACAACAGACCTGTGTCTGGGACATCAGTGGGTCTCATAATGCGGCGAATTTGTTCCATGGACTGCAGATCAGGTGAGAGTCCTGAGGAGAATAGATAATTGTATTATAAGTGACACTACAGCAAATCCTATGTGGATAAAAAGTCAAGTGTAACTTTTTTCATCCTAAAGCAAACCGACAATGCGTTGACTGACTCATAATTAACACCTGTAGTTATTTCACATATACTTTAACTCATTATGTAATTTAACAGTCATATAGAAAAATCATTAAACTTTATTTACATTCTAATCATTCCCTTTATTAAGTATGACACCATTAAATTCTGGTATTACAGAACATATTACATCCCTCATTAAATATTAAATGTATAATTGTAATTTTAAATAATCAGCTACATTATTCTGCGGTACATTACTGACTAATACATGGCAGAGGCTTCACAAACCTCCATGGCAGCAGAAAATCTTCTCATCAATAATTGCAGCAATGGGCAGACAATTAAAACAGTCAGTGAAAGTCTTCCAGAGCTTTATGTTGAACCTGCGCTTGCCTGAAGAAAAAAAAAAGAAAGGTGGCAGACAAAGAACATATCAGACAGGGAACATAATGAGGCTTTTAACTAAATAATGCTGGATTTCTACATCCAATTACATGTTTCTATCATCTGAAGAAACTTTAATTCCTCTATGTAAACTTTATTTGCATCTCTCTCGATTGAGAATAAAAACAAAATGGATGTTTTTTTGTCATTTGAGAAAAAGCTTCTGGGTTGTAAATATAAATCATCAGTCTTGACTCTCAGTTTTATAATTTTGGAAGAATTATTCATGTTTACAAATGCTGATTGGACTCTCTGTGGCCAAATACGAAGCATACAGCTGGTATTTGTACGCACATGTGCACAACAAACAGGTGCGTTTTCCCGACTTACACTCATCATAGAAGCCGTAGATGCGATTGATGGAGGCACACTCGTGGTTCCCCCTGAGCAAGAAGAAGTTTTCTGGGTATTTGATCTTGTAGGCGAGCAGCAGGCAGATTGTCTCCAGCGACTGCTTCCCTCTGTCCACGTAATCTCCCAGGAACAGATAGTTGGCCTCTGGAGGGAAGCCTCCATACTCGAATAGCCTCAGCAAGTCTGTGTACTGTCCATGGATATCACCTGAAAGGATATGTTCAGCTCATTTTTAACTGGTGTCATATTAAGTCATATTTCAGCTCCAAAATGTGACTCTTAATCTGCACAATTTTCGTCACCTCCCACTGTGAACACTGAGTCACACAAGAATATATATATGTAAACAAAAAGAAAAAGGGTGGCTGTTGATAGTTGCTGTTCTCACCACAGATTTTGAGTGGAGCTTCCAGTTCTAGCAGGATCGGCTGACTGAGGAAAATCTCTCTGGACTTGATGCAGAGCCCCCGCACCTCAGCCTCTGTCATCTGTACGACCTTCCCCGGGCGACATCCTCGCACTGCAAGTCAAAAGGTCAAAGAGTCAAACAGTCTGCACGGGCTGGTCCTTAAACGGGCCTGAGTAAGTGTTAGACACGAGGCATTAGGACAATTACAACCTGACACAGTGATCAGAACTAATATGCATCGTAACAATGGACCAGGAAAAATAAAAATAAAAATATATCATTAAAGAGTCAGCATTTTCTGCATATGTAAACCGTTCATAAAGTACAGGCCTGCTCCACACTGATGGTTACAAACATCACTGTTAACAAATGTATTAAATAATCATAAAATCTTACAAAGACTTACATTTAGTTTTAAAATGTAAGTGTTAAAACACGTAGCAATTACCCTCAGAGTGATAGCATGTTTCAACCCTGTGTTTTTCTTTCAGTGGTGGGGTTAGCTATCCCTTTTGTTTACATTTGCATCATGGTGTACCATTAAAGAGAGCTGACCATTGCATTTGCTTTGCTACTGGCCAGACATGCCATTTACTCCAGTCAACACGGGTTGTTATGAACTGGCAAGTACAGGAATGAACAGCTTGTTGGCTCAGCTGGAAGTGTGTGTGTGTGTGTGTGAGGGCGGTGTAGTGCAACCAGGACAAAAAAGTCTACAGCTTCATGTATATAGAACAAACAACATGCTTGTTTAGTAATGTCTTAGCTGTTAACTGTGTGTTAGTGGTTAAGGTATCTTAGTTTTTACACACCACAAAGCAGTACTACTGTGGCAGACCTTTGGTGTGTGTCTGAGTAGCAAAAAGAACATAAATATCTATTTATAAGAAGAAAATGTAAATTAAGAATATCAAGAAAGACATTTAAAGCTATAGACTAATAACAATAATTAGTATATATGAATATAATGTAAAATAGTATTAAAAATACATAAAATAAAAACTGGTCTTTTGGTCTGTGTAAAATAAAAAGATTAGTTATGGTAAACTTTAATTCTTCCTTTATATTTGCTTCACATAATAGTTGAGAGTGACAACAAGAAAATAAATATGCTTTGTGGTTATTAATATCTACTTATCTACTAACTTCAGTGCCTAAATTGAACGGTAGTGTAACTCTCCGGATGGGTACGTGTTATTGATCAATCGGAAACAGCTCAGTTATTCAGGCTTTATGGGTTCCTTCGTAAGGGGGGTGTGTCCAAGGAGGTAGCCGACATGCTAGCTACCTGCCTTGCCAACAAGAACAGTTAACGTTACTTAGCAACCACAGCATTCCACGGTTCTTTGGCGTTCCATTGTATTCGGTTATTTAAAGAGAATACACTGACCGTTACCGTACGCTGCCACTCGGCTAGTTCAGCTCTTCTAACGTTAAGTTATATCGATAGTTAACACAACGTTAGCTTTCTATCTGGCAGCATTAAGCTGAATTTTTTTAATATGTATTTTTAACGCCACTCTCTTTAATTACGCTAACTGCCCAGACTAACCGTTAACGAACAACCCAACGGTAACGAACACGTAGCTACCATGGAATGTGACATCATGAGAACGTTGACATTACTCCGGGAGCGGAGATCTGTTAACGCAACGATTAGCTTATGAACAACACACACACAGGCTAAGGTGTGTAAGATGCTAAAATGATTTCTAACACGTCGTAGAAAGTTACTGGTTACGAACAAGAACGAGCAGTGCAGTTATTTCCTTGACGAACGACCGAGAAAAGACCAAATATACCACAATGCTAGCCTACCTTCCAGTAACCGAGAGATGATGCTGTCAACGTTCAACTCGCTTTCCGCCATGTTTCTGATACTCACACAGGCAGGGTCCCGGGCAAACCTGCCCTGAATACTGACTTGTAGGCGCGATAGAGGACGAGCCTTCCCAGGTATGCACACAAATGGTGATATTATTATGGATCACCTAAGTTACATTTACTCAAGCGCTGGACTAAAGTACAAATTTGAGGTATGATTTTCTGATTTTTTACATCGAAAACATAATCATTATAGCTTTATTTGCATATAGGACTTTTCAAAACATTATAGTTTCTTCATGAAGCAAGCATTTCAATAATATGTAACGTTATATACAAAAATACGATGATAAAACTCAAAATAAATACAGTAATATAGGCTACAGAATATAATGTGATATAAAATCACACCACAAGATACAGTGTGTAATATAACTGAGGAAAAAACTAATAAAACTCAAAGTTGTTCTAGAATATTTAATTAGTTTAATTAATTTAAGTCAGGTTATATTCAAATGAGTAATAGGATAATTAATATAGGGGTAATGCACAACAAACGGTTTTTACAAAGTACTAATAGATATTTCAGGAATTTCTGCCTTTATTTTAAAAATATTAGCTTTCCAGCTACATTTGAACTGGGAACATAACTACATTTGAACTGAGGCTGTCTCAGTTTGTGCGGTTTGAGTTGAAGAGGTCAGTTTCACCCAAATTAGAAAATATTATATTATTAAATATTATTATTATTAAATATTATAAATATATAAAACACCTTGGTTATAAAAATGGTGTAAAATATGCTATATGTAGCTACATTTCTCAGACCTCAGAGGGTAAGTTGTAAAGCTTTGTGCTTTTTAATTAAAATTAAAAAATCCATCAGTCATGTTGTGACACAAATTCTAAAGACTTGGGTGAAACAAACCGCTACCAGATGGAAACCAAGAGCAAAGGTTTCGTTTACATGCAAATACACTGCAACGTTTTAATGGTGGAGTAAACTCTGCCATTTACTCCTCATTCTGTTATGTTTTTAACTTTCATGCTTCCATTAGTTCATGCTTTAATGAGACAGTAACTCCAAACAAGTTTAGTATTCAGTCATTCAGTGTTGATTGTGAGGACTTCTGGAAAAATAAGTGTTAATATGTGTTTTTCTTGTTGTCAACAAATCCCATGAAAAGACCAAAATGGCACTCTGCACCAAACCCATTGGTATGTTGAAGAAATACATCTTTTAAAATGGGTCACAGATCAGTTTAGACTAAAGGCTTTATGAGGCTGTACTTTATGCATTGAGCTAAATTCTGTTGTCAACATACAAACATGCTGATGTTTAGCTGGTATATTGTTGCCATGTTTACTAGTTTATCTTGTAAAGCTGAGGACAAATTCAAAGCTTGACCTGATTATGGTGCTCGGTAAAAACTGAAGGGATCATCTAAGTTATAACAGTTCGTCCTGAGGGGAACATGAATATCCAGACCAAAAAGAAATGAATGGCAATCCATCCAATAGTTGTTGAGACATTTCACTTCAAATCACAAATGTCAACCTCATGGTGGCGCTATAGGAAAAGTCAAGGAATCACCAAAGTAATTAGAATACATTGTGTGGGAACTCCTTGTTGTTTCAGTGGGTACGACACTGTTGAGTACAGAGTACATCGACCATAATTCGAGCATTGTAATTTTATTTCATCAATAAATAAAAATGAGTAAAGAAAAATTTACAAAACATCTGGATTCTGTCAATTACATATGGGACATTTCACAATTTCAGAGCAGTATAAAAATTATAAATGTTTTACATATTTGTTTGTTTTACGCACCATTAAGTAATATTTTTTGAACTAACTAATCACATTAGTCTCTAAGGTAAACAGACTGCTACTGTAGTACTGCCAATCCCACTGAGAATCTACATCCCATTGTTTTTGTTTGTTGGGTTGAGTTTCACTAGCTCACACTGTCACTCCTTAAATAACAGCTGCTCTCACAGCACAACTTCAGACATGCTGCATGCTACCTGGCTCCAGTAAAACAGCTAAGAGCTTAAGTTAACAAGCAGCTGGTGAATAAAGTCAAACATCTCAAAGAACAAAGAGAGACAGATCATTTTGTCAAGAACCGGTGGATCGAACCAGGACCCTGATGCAACTGAATATTTCACTTTCATTCAGACAGGTGGGTGTTTCCTCTGGAGTCTACTTTTCTGCCCTCTAGTGGCCTAAAACGCATGCTGCAGCTTTAAGGCTTAAATATATACTGTTGATAATAAACACAGCTTGACAAGAACAAATGCATTAAAAACCAGTCCCTTGCATTTCTACCGCTCTCTCCGCTTTGTTTTCACGACGCTGACAGCGGGACAGAATTAACCAGGCAACAGTAACGCCAGCCAGTAAGCTGATGATTCCCACAATCACTGGCACCCACACAGGCATAGAGGAGGGACACTTGGGCACAGGAATGGTTTCTATGGTGCTGATGAAGGAGTCTGACACAGGAGAGCTGGTCGTGGAGGGGTTGGTGGTCACTGGTGTTAGGCTGTTGACCTTAGTGAAGATGAAGGGACTGGCCTACAGGAAACATAAAATAGTTCAAGGTTAAGAAATTAAGAGTCTTTGAACAATTGTGCCCCAAAATACTGAAGAAGATACACATTTTATAGCTGCATAGGTAACTTTTATGAAAAATAAAATGTACAGATTATCTGTTGAATACTGTCAGGATGTAGTGAAGGTTTCAGCAAATATGACCAAAAGTTTTCCTCTCTTTTTTTGAGGTTACCTACTGCAGCTTTAATTCAGGGACTATGAACTGACGAGTCAGGTAATATGGAGACACAGAGTTATATATATATAATGTTAAACAAATAAAACATTATGAAATCCAGAAAACAACAGAATAATCTAATAGATTAAAAAAAATCTAGTTTATTATTTTAAAATGTCATCCACTTGAAAAAAAATAATAACTATAATAACAGCATGTAAAACAATTGAAGCACAAAAAGAAAAAAAGTTAAAATAACTTATTTCCATAATGGTCTTATTATATATTTTTTAATATTTGAGCTGAATTTTTAAAAGTAATTTTACATACGTTAATGGTTATTTTAGGTCTGATTTTAGTTTTATTTCATAATGTCTTATTTAATTATTTGGTGACTAAAAGATTTCACATAAAATGTAATTGATAAATATAGATCTAGTTTGCTAATAAATTAATTTGAGTTATGGGTAGGATTTCTCTCTATCCACACATACCTCAGAGGGACAGTGAATCTTGGAGCGGTCATATGTGAAGTTATTGTAGGTCTGTTTTCTGCCTACAGGCTCCAACTGTTAACACAGAGAAAGAGAAATTGTGTAAAATCAAAAAGCACCAAAAAAACTCTGTTCTTTGCAGTTTGGTCCATTACTGCTCCATGCTCACCATGTTGTTCCACAGGGAAATAGCCATCTCAGCATGAGCTCGCTCGCTGATGTGGAAACAGTCCAAAGAGAAGAAACTCGAGTCAGCCTCACCCACCTGGTGAACAGATTAGATCGTCAGCACGGGTACATTTCATTTATTTGTGTGTGGCTGCTTGTTTGGATACGTCTGTATGTGTCTGTGACTTACTCCAATATGAGGGATAAATAAATTGTGTAAAAAGGGTTGAAGGACAACAGCAAAGTCTTCCTTTCCATCGTAACGATTTCCAGAAATAAGTTGCTGGATCTCAGCCTAGGAAAAAGAAAAAAAAAGAAAAATGTAATAATGACAGAGGGGACCACATTTACAAAAGAATATTTAAATGGTTAAAAGAGGTCTTTGCTTCTACCTGATACTCGTGGTTGATGCGTTTGAGCTCTTCGAGCTCTGGGGAGTTTTCAACTGGGTTGATAACACAAGGACAGTTGGTCCTGTAAAAAGCAGATTCCTGTTTATTCTTCTTTTTATAAGATGTGGAAGGAGCTGAATCCAAATCACAGAATCAGTGCAAATAATTCTTTATGCTGAAATACTTATAAATCTTGGACTGATCAAGTGTAAATATATGGTTTTAGAGGTTTAAGGACTGTTTGGAGCTTTAAGTGGAAAACAATTAGGCTATAAAATAGCAATATACTCAAATTGGGAAGTAACAAAGTACCTAGTAGTAAAAGAAGTTTTTTTCAGGTATCTGAACATGAGTATTTATTTTGATTTTACTTTTACGCCCTACATTTTTACACAAATCTGTACAGGCTTGGTATTTAAGTTTTGATGCATTTGAGGGGAATTATTCATCATTATCATCACTATTATTTTTTGCATCATTGAACACCTTCCCAACATCAACACCAGTGCATATTAAACAGTCAAGAGAGGGAGACTCAAACCTTTTTGTATTTGCAGTAATACTTTCTCAAATGCTTAATTAATAACCTTTGCCTTTACTATATTTTGATCTTGACCCATCTTTAAATTTGGAGGTTTGAACCCTGCAGTCACTGATTTTTGGACCACTTGAGGGCAGTGTAAACAAGTTCTAAACACAGTACTGACATACACCTTTAAAGTATTTAAAACCTGTTGGCTAACAATTGCTTATTTACACATCTAGGAGACACAGAGCAATATTTTATCATTAGTTTGGAGTCGAGTTTCTGGTCTTGTGATAAATATACTTCCAATATTCACTCTTCTATTAGCTCTGTTTTTGTCTCCACCAACCCCTGATATAAATATCTGGCTCTTTAGCTGCTAAATACCCCACCATGTTCACTAGGTAATTTTGTCTGTCAAGAGCTGCGAGAAAAAAACAAACCAATGATCTAAAAGATGCTAAAAAGAACTGCAGAGCATGGTGATAATTCTCTGCCGGTTCATCACGACAACTTACTACAATATTGATTATAGCCACTTTAAAATGATTTAACTTCTGGTGGTTTGCATGACAGATGGTGAAGATGATGAAACACACAGAAAAACAGACAAAACAAACCTTTGCAAGAGGGAACAGCCAAGTGTGTCTTTCTTAACTGTCTTTAGTGGATCTATCTGCAAGAGCTCCACGACATTAACCAACAACCTTGGTACCTAAAGATTTAGAGAAAGAGAAGAGAAGGGAAGAGGCAGATAAACATTTACTCACATGTATATAGGACAGCAGATGACAATAATTTATAGCCATAGATATCTTACCTCTTTGTAAAGCATGTCCAAACTGATCATAAGATTGTGACTATAGTTCTTGGGTGACAGGTTATTCTGCAGAGATAAGCAAAGCATGTTTTTTACTGCAGTTATATAACATGCAGAATATGCAGTTATTTCTAGATGATGCATGAAGAACTTACTTGGTCCAGGCAGTAATGGCAAAGATCGTTCCCCCCAACGAATATTGTCACAAGTTTCCAGTCCTTTTCAAAATTCACCTCCTGTGTAGTGTGAGTGCAGAACATGAGCATGAAAGAGGAAGACACTATTAGAGCCATGTTGTAAGTTATGGGGAAGTCTTACCTTTTTTTCTCTCATGGCCTTGATGAGAACTTGGACTTGTTCTGGGATCACTCTGTAACAGAATAAATCCAGACAGCAGGCGTTATAGAGAGATGAGAAATCAAAAGTTTTACTCAGGTGAAGGAACTAAAAGAAAATGCACATACGAGGTCTTAGCTCCAGGTACAGCCATGTTGAAACCCTTCTGTAACAAGCCCTGGCCTCTGGAGAAACCCTTTAAGGAGGGGTTGAACTTCTTCAAGATGTCTGAGGAGATAAAGAAAAAAAAAAGGGATTGAGTACCAGCTGAGAAGTATGTGGTTATAGTAGCTTCCAGTTAGGAATGTCATTCTGTATGTGAGCTGACATTGGGCCCCATGCAAGAATCTGATCTGACAATTTTAATCACTCTTTAACAATGATAGGAGAAGTGAAACTAATAAAAAGAGATCCAATTGGAATTTTAGTGAAATAAAGGTCAGGACAATATCATCGGCAAACTCTTTTTTGTTTTTTGTCTCAACATAAATCTTATTCATTAAATTTTCTTCCACTCCATATTTTTCCCCATGTCATCTCGGCCCCACCTGCAGTGTCGTTATGCCCCACCAGTGGGACGAGCACCACAGTTTGAAAACCACTGATCTAAATTCTATATAGGAGGAAATTGGTGAATGCGACAAAAATCTCTCATCACTTGTATGTGCCACTTAATGACTCTGTTTGTCTAAGTGAATCATGCACCCACTATTTAAAAACCCATATTAAGGTTAGATTTCAAATACTACAAAGATTGCCCCTCTGCAGCATTATGTTTTTTTAGAGATTGTTATATCTGTCAGATATAGTAACTAGTAGTACATTTTTTGCCAAACAAGTGACATAAACTCACTTGGTAGTGTTGTAACAGTCTCCAGAGTTTTATCCCCTCCGATGCTGCAAGAAAAAAAAGCCCACAAACATCAGTCTGGTTTGTTAAATATAAGAGTTAATGTAAACCTTGTTAACCCTGCGGGCATGTCGTACCTCCACGATACTCCTCTGTAGTCTGTATTGAGTTGAAACAGGTTCTTTGCTTTAGCGCCAGTACCTGCCTGTGAACAGAGAAAAACAATCCACATATTCAGAGACAGAAATATAAAGGGAATAATGCTGCAGAGGACAGCGAGACCACTGACAAAGATAAGTCTCACATCAAAGACAAAACACCAGAACATAAAATGGATGATCATCAACAGTGCAAGTTATCTGGCTGATAACAAATTGATTAGAGAGTTCATAGTTCAATGACACCAAATAGCTGATACCAACAGGTTCCCAGTTGGGGCTAAAATGCAATTAATTACCCGTCAAGTACGGATTGTCTATTGCTGCTTAAGTTTAATAAAAAAGATGTGTGATTTTTATTTTATATGTGTCCAACTGTTTTATTCGTTATATCTCCTTCCTTGTACTTTATTGGTGAAAGGGGCTGCATATCTAACCGTTGAAGAGTCTCCCAGTGCTGCCACCACCGTGATGTCTCCTGGTCTCAGCTTGTGAACTACAGATAAAAGACATGAAAGAGATTCAACCACAGACATCATCTCTATACAATAGTGATATTTCAGTCCGTTTAATTCTCATTCAACGATGTCTGCGTTTCAGCTGTAGTTAACTGTAGATAAAAGAGAACATCGACTCTGATATCGACTGTCTGCTGATAATGCAGAGATGGCTGTCTGTCTCACCTGAGGTTGGTGCAGTGTCAGATGGAGCAAGGTCCACACAAGAGAAGTCACTTCCCCAGTTCTGGAGGAAAAATAAACATCAAAAGATATTGCTTAGCTGTGTTTTTTCTGTCTATTTCTATCACTTGTCTGTGCAGACAGTACACTGTCTCTCTCCCAGTGCATGCTGGGACAAGCTCCATACACAAATGTGAACAGGATACGTTTGGTGTTCACAGCTGGTGTGTTATAAACTGTGTGTTGTGTTAGTTTTCGCTAGTTTAATGCTGCAACTAATGATTATTTTCTTATAGATTAATCTGTTTATTCAAATAAACAATGAGTCATCAAATAGAGAAAAATTCCCATTTACACTGCTTATTTTATGCAACCACACCAAAGATGTTGAATTTCTAATCGCAAAAGATAAAAGCAACAAATCTTCACATTTAAGCATTTTTTCCTTGATAAATGACATGAATGAAAGATAGATTATCAAAGTAGTCAATTATTCTGTCAATAACCTCATCAACTAATGCAAGCTTCTATGAAATGTTACCTTCATTCAGGTCTTTAGTTGTTAAGCATTACATATTTAATTTCAGCAGTCTCTCAAATGGAGGTGAAATACTTACTGTGATAGGTCCAGGTGTTGGAGAGGGACCAGCATACATGTAATTGCTGTTGTTATAGGTCCGTATGTATGGGGAAGTCTGTAACCAAAGGAAAGGACTTACATTACATAATGCATAAGTGGCTTTGCAGCCTCAAAATATAGAAAATTGATTTGTTCAATCAAAAACATTATATACTTAACAACAGAAGTTTGGGCAATTTATTTATAGCTTTATGTTTCCTCACATGATTCAACCATCAAATGATTTACAAAAACACACTGACCAGCATTTATAGCACTACATTTCTTACCTTGTTTGGACATTTCAGGTTAATGTTCTCAATAAAATCCTGTACGGAAGTCTTACTGCCCAGAGGTTCCAGCTGGGAAAATATATCAGAGTGTATCATTCAGTAAATGTAATATAAAATGTTACATTAAAGGTTATATCGTAATAAGTGTCACTAGTAGTGTGTTACTATTCTGCCACCAGCAGTTGGTTTCAATTGAACATTCTGTTGCTACTGGCAACCACTACTGGCAGAGTTCCGTGACAGTTTAACTGACATTGTTACAGCCGCCATTTTGTCAGATCCGAGATGTAAATATTGACATGTATCTTTTATCTACTCCCCACTTGTTTGGAGCATTATCTATAGGTACTCTTTTGTTAAAGCTGTTTTGTTATTTGGTAAATTTAGTCTTCTTCCGATCAGTTTACTGTTAACTATGCTAGCCATTACACTAGCGCAGTGGCTCCCAGCCTTGTTCCCACAGGTTGGGAACCACTGCACTAGCTGACTGAAGCTAATGTGTTGGTAAGCAAAGTGTTAATTTACTTTCTTCCAAAGGAGAAAGCTAATTTGAGAGTTATGCCCTGATCATGTCACATGATGAACGGTGAAGAAGGGAGAGATTCCCATGTCAATGACTTACGAGCGTTCATGTCAAGACAGATTACAGAGTTGGTTGTGTCAAGATTAAAAATTGCATTGACAATATAACACCATATCCGTTAAATTTGTGTTAATTACATTGAATGACGGTCTTTGGCTGATGTGAGACAGAGACATATTTGTTTGGCTTCCAGGCGCTTCCATAATGCCAAGACACAATGTCTGTCTTTAGTGTTTATTGGAAATGTGTTGAGCTTGCTGCATTGCTGTGTACTTCTATGCATAGTGAGAGCAAACCCTTAATGGTGACATGTGAATAGCAATCTGAAAATAATATCTACATTAATATTGTCACCATGCAGACCATTATCCACTAGGGGACAGTAATTTACTGACAACACATCAAGTTAAATGCATCCACAAAACATGACTTTATCTTTTTGTCTGTCAGATACTTACCATGTTGTTCCAGAGGGAGCGAGCCATCAGCGTCTGGGCCTTCTGGCTGAGATGGAAGCAATCAGCACTGAAGAAGGAGCGATCGGCACGGCCATCCTGTGGAAAAGGTATGGAAAAGCTACTTTTACGGACTACTTACTATGTTTTAACCATAAAGAGTTTGACCAATGCAGTATGGTGCATGATGGAAAAAGCAACAACTAGAAAAACATTTTCTAAAAGAGAGAGTTAAACATTTAGGGAGATACCAAAGAATACAGAATATTGGCTTTGTTGCAGAGAGTTGGATCAGAAGGTTGACACCCTAAATTTACTAATAAATGCCAAATTTGGTTTGTGTCAACTGCCTACAGTTAATTTACATGTTTACAAATATAAAATACAGTCATGATTCTGGTGCTAAACCTGTGGTGAGTTGACTGAAAGTCTGTGTAGTCCACGTTACTGACCGGCAGTCTGGGAAAGATGATGTCTCTGAAGAAAGGCTGGACAACCACAGTGAAGTCTGAGCGAGTGTCATAGCGACCTGACTCCACAAGCTCAAGCAGTGAACGCTTAAAGAAAGAAAGAAAGAAAGAAAGAAAGAAAGAGAAGGCGTTGATACCTGAGCATGAACTGGACTGTTATTATAGTGATCATAGTGTGGTCTCTTTGCTCTTTCCTACCTGATAGCCTCTATTGATGTCCTCCACCATTTGAAGGGCTTTAGAGTTGGCCTTTGGCAGGATAACGCAAGGACACAGTATACTGGTAAAGGAGAGATAACATGGTAATATATCACTGCTTATGATCATAACTTGGGGGAATATGGAGTCGTGAAGGGAGCGTGAGCTGAAAAGCTTACATCACATCCAGTATCTCAGTGAGAGTTTTAAAAAGGCAGAGATAAGGGTGACACTCACTTTACTAGCCATGTTGGGCATTTAAGTGAAGTGTCCATGTGCATTTCTCTCAGTGGGGTAATATGGAGAGGCTCTATTAAGTTCACCAGAGCCCGAGGCACCTGACAGAGACAAGCTCAATTAATGCTGGCAAACAATCAATCGATATATATATATATTGAAAAATGTAGCATGTCTGTTAATTTTACCTCTTTGTGAAGATAATCCAGGCTGTCGCGAACATTGCGGGCATAATTCTCTACAGAGTAGAGCAGCTGTAAACAAAGGGAAACATTTTCAGATTGTGTGCCTTTTGACCCCTCCAGGAAATGAATTATAACTCATTATAATTGTTAGTACTCACAGAGTTGTAGCAATGGTCACAGACGTCGTTTCCACCGATAAAGATGGTGATCACCTTCCAATCTGATTCAAAATTGATTCTCTGCAATGGCGTTTAAAGAGACATATAAGACATACGTCTTTTAAAAAGGAGGAAATGTTTTCACTATTGTTATTGTCTAAAATGGATGGAACATATTGTAATGCAAGAGGATTTTAAAGTGCAGTTTTATAGGGCAAATTTAAAAATAGGTCAAGAATAAATATCAACTCACAGAGTCATTCTTCATCCTTGCTACCAGGGTTCGGACCTGTTTTGGTATGTCCCTTTAAACATAAACAAAATACAGTATCACAGTGAATTCACAGGTTTTACTCAGACAGTTAAAAGCAAATTTATTTCAAGATATATTCATCCAAATTCTGCTTTCTTTATTAACTGATTCTTAAAGAGCATTTTAATCACAGATTTTAGTCTTGACAACTTGATTTTAAAACAATAAATTCTATATCAATAAAATAGTTTTGACACCAAATTCAAGAATTTACTTTTTTTTTCTTTCATAGAAACACCCCCTTCCTTTTTAAAATATATAAACTTATGTACAGTTTTTTTCAAATCATTTTATAGGAATTTCTTTTTCTTTTATGTTAAAGTAAATGTATAAATAACTACTGTTACAGAGTTACAGAAATATTGCAATACAAACAGTCGACAATGTGTGGTCTCTTGCAATTAAGTATAAAACTTAACAGCTTTGATGAGTGTGTCTAAAGCTCAACTTAAATCAGCCTAATTGTTACAACATCAGCAGGTATAAACTGGTGAGAGGCTGCCGAAAATGCCTCCAATAGGACTCACTTGCTCTTAGCTCCGGCTACGGCCTGGTTGAGGAAAGCCTCAGGAGTTTGCTGCTTGCCCGTGCCAACAGAGTAGCCCGTCAGGTTTTGGTTAAAATGTTTTAAGATGTCTGTGTTATGAGAAAGAAATAATAGAAATAAAAGATTTCTGTGTAAATCACTGGTAACGGCCATCGCAGAGCAACACAAACTGACTTTAACAGGTTGTTTGAACTATTATAAGTCATCAAGGACTCACTGGGCAGCGTGGTGACCGTTGTGAGGTTTCCATCTCCACCAATACTGCAGAAAAAACACAGAATACAGTGTTTAAATGATAGCACATATAAAATAAGTATTATGCAGGAAGGTTGTGTGATAGTTATGTTGAAACATCTTGGCTTACCTCCAGGATAAACCTCTGTACTGACGCAGGACATCCAGGACGTTGTTAGAGCTGGATGCTATACCATTACCAGCCTGACAGATAGAAGAGGACATGATAAAATAAGACAGAAATTCTAATATATGTGACCTTCTCTTCCCCGTACCAGTATATCAGGTTTACTGTGGGTATTAAATATGTGATTTTATGATACTATGATGACTTCTCTGGTATAACTATCCAATATAAGTGCATGGTCTGAATAGGCCTTTAGATCTTTGGACTGTTATGACTTAAGCTAACTAATGTAATTAACTCTTGACTCTTTTCATTATTATTTAAATTAATTACAATTTAATCAAATAAAGCTTTGTCTGCTTTTCTCTTGCTCTTTTCAGACCCTCTTCATTGCCATATGTATATAAAACTATACATATGTTCTCTAAATGATTACATAATTGACACTTCCCTCTTCTTGTGGGTATAAATATGACATACAGTTATTATATTTCAATATCCAAGCACAACCCTTCACCTCGCCACAGAATATAACATTTTACACTAATTTGAGCAACTAATACACAGTATTTTACTGTAATACAGTTCACATTTAATATATTTTAAAGGTTAAGATTATGGTCATACTTTTAGGATCTATTGCCACTTTATATTTAATTATGTTTGATATTTTAAATTATATGGATTTATTTTTCTATCTACTGAAAATAATGAACATAATGTCTTACTGTCAGAGAGTCTCCCACAGCAGCCACCACTTTGATATCTCCAGGCCTGAGTTCATGGACTGGAAAAATACAAAGGACACAAAACTTAATTATTACAGCACAGGACTTCTAGAGAGACTGTGCAGTAATATAATACTCATTATATGTGTAATTATAATAATAAAGCAGTAAAACAAACTAGACGTACTTTATAGTAGGATTGAAATAAAGTACTATTAGAAAGAAGTATAAAGAAATTATTAATTTCTAAGTAGTAAATAGAGATTACTTTATCAGACCCAGTGTCGTTTGAAATAAAAAGTAACTCAAACAGAGGCAATAGATAGAGGTAGAGGTGATAAATATACAGATTAGTGACAAATAAAAGGAAAACTCAATATAAAGTCTGTCCAGTATCAGATTAATGATTTTGTATGCCAATGTGACACTTTGGTTTTGTATTTTAATGTGCCTACATTGACATTTTAAGTTAAAAAGAAAGAGAAATACCTCATTTATCAACTTCAATATGCTGATCTTGCATCAAAAAAAGCCTCATGCATGAAAAATGACACATGCCTATACATATAAATAAAATCTGCCTGACCATTTTAATATCATATGTCCCGAAAAAAAAGCATCATTTGACTTTTTCTAGTCAATTGAAAGTCGCCCTGGCGCCTCAAAAAGACTGTAAACCATCTTACCTGAGCTGGGTGTGGAGGATGAGGGGCTAAAGTCCTCACAGGGCATCTCTGTACCTGTAAACTGAGCAGCCACACAGAGCACATCCACAGTCAGGACTAAACAGGAGACATACAACGCTGCCACAACCTCCATTTGGCTCAACACAACACAAGACTCACTGGGAGAAGGAGAGGAGAGGCATCACTGTAGTGATATGAAGGCGAATTTCCCTCCGTCCTCAGGAAGGGCCGGTCCTTGGGGAGGGAGGCAGATAGGAATAAGAAAAAAAAAGAGGTTGGTTGGGGAAGAAGGAGGGTAGAGTAGGAGTGTGCCACCAATAAAACTTATTTTAAAGTACAATATGTGTGTTTGCACACTTTAAAATGCTGATTTTACTGCATGTGTGTGACTTTTCAGCACAGTTACTCACCTCAGTTGGACATGGCAATGCAATAATCTTTCCATTGTCTTCTGTGCTGTGTTGGCCACTGGTGGGCTGCAGCTGAAAGACAGAAAACTCATTGTCTTCATGTTTGCGACACACAGAGAACAACAACTCTGTATGTTTGCGTATATACGTGTGTGTGTGTCTATAGGAGAGAAAAAAAGAGATTGCTTAAGGGCCTTACCAGGTTTGTCCACATCTGCACCATCAGGTTATCAGTTTGTTGTGATGCTTGCGACTCAGAGAGAGGCTTTCCACTCTGTTAAAAACAAAAGAACAACAATAACATTGTACTGTATGTACTTTCTGTATCTGTAGCATCCACGCAATAGTACAATGGCACTGTGTGTTTGATACAGTAAGTACATCTTCACTTCCAGCTGCAGTGAGATAACCAGGACTCTGTATCTGATATTGTGATAAACAGACATAGACTATCATCATCTAATAAGAATTTACATTAGAAATTTAATTAATTGAATTTTTTGGGCCACAACATATTCAAAAATTCATCAGATGTGGCACAAAATTCAGCTATACTATAAACTATAATATAGAAATGTTCATATGTCTAAAACACTTGTTTCCACTGTGGCACTGATGGAAAATAACATTTATAAATCATTACTTTGAGGCAATAAAGTGTGAAAAATTGGTACATATGGCTCATCTTGCCTCAGTGCCAGTAAGGATTAATAAGGGATGTCGGATGGTAGAACTATGAGACTTGAGTTAAAAGATGGCGTCAGCCTGTCACTCACAGATGAAGGGTCTGTGATGAAAGGTGTGTCCTGCACAATGACAGCGAAGTCATCTCTGTCTCCGTACCAGCGCTTCTTCACCAAAAGTTGATCCAAGGACTCCTGAGTCACATATACAGCAAACTCCACTGTCACATTTCAGAGCAGCTAAAACAACCAAAGGACTGAATGTATCTGACAGATATGTTGGATGTGAATAATGGACAAACCTGCAGAGCCTGACTCAGTATGGCCCTCTGAAGTCTGATATCTCCTTCACTGTTTGTCCCCATGCATGGACACATCCTGTCATTAAAACAGATCCACTCTAATTAAAACTTAATACTCATAAAACTTAATGATTACAGAGACATTCTGCACTATCAGGCTGCTTTATCCTCACTTCAGCAGTCGGTTTATCGCAGTGTGTTAGTTGACAAGAAGATATAATCCTCTCATGATACTGATACGGATCCCTCCAGGATTGTTGTGCCCTAAAATGCCTGACTTGGCTTTTCTAAGAAGTTGCAATGCCTGTTGTGATGTTTTCAGGAATTTATATTGCAATCAGATAGCAGGAGCAAGTGAACATTGAAAAAATAGCTGCGATTTTTATTGTATAATTCATTAAAAACAGCAGGCAACGTGTTCCTGTGAGAATAAAATCGCTAGTAGTTCACAGGGATCGGTTGAATTTGTGTTCATTGTTGCGATCGCAACTTTCTAAAGGGACTGAAATCTTGTAACTACAGTGCACCAGTTACTAATTACATTTACTCAGGTACTGCACTTAAATACTTGAGTATTTCCATTTTATGCTACTTTATACTTCTACTTCTCTAGATTATTGGAAGCCAAAATTGTACTTTTTACTCCACTAAATTAATTTGACAACATTTGTTGAATTAACTATTAAACATTTTACTATATGAGTTTTTATTTTATATGTTTTATATTAAGCCAGAGACAGACAGCGACAGACACACATGAACTCACTTGTTGTAGAACCTGTCATGCTCTCCATCCCACAATGCCACACTGACGATGGTCCGCTTCAGCTGCCACACAGGGACGTGAAACAAAATCATTTGTAAAATGTGTGTCAAGTTCACTTTCAACACCCCCTGTCCTTAGACCCTCTATTTGGGTGAGGAAACACTCCCCGAAAAAAACATTTTAATGGGGAAGAAACCTCAGGAAGAGCCCCAGTGAAGGGATCCCTCTCCCAGGAACAGAGTGCACATAACAAACTAACAAAATCAGTATGAATATTGGCGACACATAAAATATACAATTTAAAATATACCTGAGTGTGCAACAACTGCAGAGCATCATCTACCTCTTCAACTACGGCTTTGATGACAGACTGAACCTGCACACAAACACACAAACAGTATGAGGCCAAAATAACATTTACACAACTAATGGAACAACTTCTCCACAGAAACTCTTGGTATTTCTGATAATATTTGTTACAGGTGTTCACAGTTCTGTGTTCACCAAATTGCACCTATAAGGAAGCATTTCACAGATTATTTCTAAAACAGACAGTTTATCAGCTTATATCATGAAAAGTTTGACACTGATAAGAATAAAAGAGACTTCAGTGATTGAGTGAATGGATGATTTGGACTCTTAGCTTTCACTCTATAAACACACAACACGTGTATTTTTTTCTTTAAAAATAATGTTATCAATATTAATAATATCTTTTTTTACCTGCTCACAGGCACAGAGCTGATCCATCTGAACAAAGAGAAGAAGCAGCTTCCAGTCTCTGTCCGCATCAATGACCTGCAGGAGAAAAACAAAGTAAACCACTCAGATATAGTTCAAGAGTTAAACTCCCACACGAGTTATATTCCCTCATTTGTTTCACTGTGGATAAAAGATGTATAAGCATCCTTTAAGATGGGAGTGGGGACAGTGGAGACCCTACCTGACTGTTTTGGAGGTAGAGGGACACGTCCTTGGCCTGCTCCAACAGCGTGCTGCAAACCAAACAAATCAAATCATTATCAGCTGCTACAGTCATCGTTAGTATATTTTTTATGTGTGAGAAAGTGCCGTCCTTACCTGTGTTGTACAAACTGAGAGGCGTACAGGTTTGTTTCGTCTGACGGAGGACTAATCAGTGCCGGATTGAACAGGGTCATCAGCTCTGATGGAGGGATATTTAAGTTTAACAACAAAACCCAGAGCTTCTATCTCAATGTGTGTCATTGTATGGGTAATCACAGTAGAACTTAAACTATTAATCCAGTTGTAAAATGACATATATCTGAGGAATTCTTAAGTCATTTTTAGTAAAAAAAATTATAAAAATTTATAAAAACAAACTGTGCCAGCTCTAACTTCTTATATGTAAATATTTGCTTGTTTTCTTCTCAAATAAAACATATTTGGGGTTTGGACAAAACAAGGAGTTTCAATATGTCAGCTTTTGTTTTAGGAAATAGTTTTTTCTACTATTTTATGACATTTCATAGAGCAAACAATTAATGAATTAATCAAGATAATATTTAGCAGATTAATTAATAAATACTGTTAGCTGCAGCCCTAAACACATGACACATTGACCATGCAAAAGTGTCTTTGTGGGCTTCATAATAATTCTAAATCCAGACACTTAAACACCATGTAGTTTGTCTATAAATTAAACACAAATATGACAAATTGAAATACAGTAAATATCTTTATTCTAATAAAATAAATTATTACTGAAAACTTACAAAAGGGCTGCAAATCCTGTATGGACAATTTAATCTGAAGAAATAATCTTCGATCAACAACTGTGACCTTTCTGCTTTGGGTCAGTCAGTATTTTATTTCTATGAAGTACCGGAAATACTTTTTATTTCACGAATAGCCTTTAAACAAGATAACAGCTCACAGTGTATTGGGGTTCATGGTTTCAAATTATCACAGTTAGTAGATATCAGTGTAGTAAAGATAGCACACAGTAGTGTAATAGAAGCTCATATCAACTCCTTTAGATGAATTACACTGTGTATTTAGACTGTGGGCCAATTCTAGTGAAAGTTAAAGTTTGTTTTAGCACCAGTAAAGATACTGGAGCTTTCCCATCAGGCCTGTTTGAAGGCAGTGGGGGAAAGAAGTGCAGGAGGGAAGTTATGACCTGTTGTGAAGTAAATTATTTAAGAATGATTTGTCTTTAGGCACTGTGAACACAAAATAAAACCTTGAATCTTACCTCTGAGTCTTGACACCACTGTGGACAGCTCAGTGCTGCAGGAAAACAAAAGTCCACAGTGTGATTATGTTTATATTGTATTTCAGACCTCGTGGAGCAAAATATCACCTCATGGTTGAAGCTAACTGGTGCTCACCTGTGCATGTGGAGTCCAATAGAGGAGAGTACAGCCACATCTGAGGGCTTAACGCTGTTAACTTGAGAAAGAAAAAATAATAGTTTGAATTGAATCTCTGAGAAACTGGATAATTTTCTTTATTGCACATCAGAACTAAATATTTATGTCAAAGCTATGAGGGCTGATAATCTGAGAGAAATGTGGTATTTACTGTATGAATCAATAAGTTGTGGAAGAAGTATTCAGATCCTTTACTTCAGTAAAAGTTGCAATGCTACATTCATTCAAAATACTTCATTCATTTCACTTCATTTAAAGTAAAAGTACATAAAGATTATTTATACTGTAAGTATCAAAAGTAAAATAACTCATTTTTAAAAACTGTCTTTTCAAGAGTGATTTATGTATTATTAATATATTCCTGGATCCTTATTACTTAACCAGAACGCAAGTTGGAGTTAACTTCTTTATGTACTGTGCGGTAGTTTAATCTACAATAATGCATCTTATTTTATGAGCTGATTATAGGTTTTAAACGGAAAAAGTTTAATATGCAAGGTAAATACGAACCACAGCTGTCACATAAACCCAGTGCAGACAAATATTTCCATCAACATTACAATGCCGTAGAAGTACAGAGGCATGAAATGGAAATACTCAAGTAAAGTCAAGTAATACTCAAGTAAAACCACTGACAATGCACCCTCAAAATCAACAATGAACCACATCATCACTTTTTATGTGATGTACACATTTCCATCCCCAGTAACAGTTTGGAAAATAAGTTGAACCTACAGCCATTAATGTAAGTGTGGCTCTAATAAACGTGTAATCTATTTGACTTACCATTGGAAGGTGGCGACTGAGAGGGGAACGTCTGAGTGCAGGGCAGTCCAGTGACTGAAACCAGGGATAGATAACAAGGAGTGCAACATATATATATATTATATAGTGGATCAAATATTGTGATAACTTAATGCTCAAAGCACACATTTAGCTATTCCTCTCCTTTTTTCACCAATAACATGTAAATAACATGTCTCTGATATGCTTACGGTACTGATCTCATGTACAATTTGCACATAAAAAAATGACTCAAACTTAAAAACCACTCCCCTTTAGAAGCACACAAATATATTACACTAAGATATTGATATGCTTCATTAGTGGATCAAATATCTAAGATCCTTCATAACTTTCAACAACTGATGAGCTGTGCAGAATTTTTAAATTCACACATTTTTTGTTGTCATTTAAAAAAACTAATGAAATGTAGAATCGGTGGAGCAGGAAAAGGCATGAAGTAGATATTTATGCATTCAGTCACAGTTTCTGTCAAATTAAAAACAAAATTAAAAAGACTTTAAATGTTATGACCAACTAATTTAAATTTAAAGATTTAAAAACTGCAGCAATAACAAGAGAGACAAGAGCATTAAATGAAGCAAACCTGTGGTCCATGTGAGCCCCAGGACCGTTACCAGAACCAGCTGTGGAAACATCATATCTCTGATTTTCTCTGATTTTGTCCTCGTGGATCTTTTATGGAGCCTTCCTTCCTCTCTGCTCTCCCTGTTGACGATCAGCCGTCTTTCTATCTCATTATCAGTTATACCTGGCCAGTAAACTATAAATATCATAGATATTCACAGAGGGGAGGGACTGGCCTTCATGTCCAAAGGACACAGCCATCAGGTTTGATAATGAAACAATGACACAGTAAATTAAACTTTTATTGTAATAATGAGAGAAAGTGAACTTCAGGGTGTTAATGTGATTCTATTTCTTGACTATCAAAAAAGGCTTTAAACTTTATTGTTTATTTGGTTAAATAAAAAGTCAGATAAGAATCTAATAATCTACTAATTGATATGATAAATCAACATAACAACTCAAAACATGATTTGATTACCAAATAACACTGCTGTTAGTATGCTAGGGAAATCTGCAGCTACACTGTAATATACTACTATTACTGGACTGGGATGATCATAATCAGGACATTAGAGTTACAAAAGGAAGTAACTTTAATGTTCAATCGTTTGTCTGATAAAAGAGCAATGCATTATCTGTCCTGTAGTTAGATAAGAGAAAAGCCCATGGTCTTTATTGGTTTAACAAGCAGCATTAAACCTGCATAAATCTGCTTTGTCGGTGTGAAAAAGAAATCTGCACATAAGCATCTACACGGCACGACTTCAGTTATACAAGCTTTGTCCTGTCTTCTGAGTCAAAACTGTGTAATTGTGATTTGAATCTCCAGTTTATTTTAATCGAGAGCTTCTCGTTTATTCCACGGATGTTTGATCGACAACATCTCGTCATTTTGAAGGTGGATGGATTAACTGCAGTCAAACAAGTGACTGAAGATTGCTTTAAAACTTAATGCAAATATCAATCAGATTATTTCTGCCTATATCTGTATATATATGTGCTCGACACACATTACACACACACACCATCTTACATCTGAGCACTAAATATGCAGCTGGAGCCAGCAGCCAGTTAGCTTAGCTTAGCATAAAGGCTGGAAACAGGTAGAGCCAGCGTACAGTTTGAATGTCGTCTGATCAAAAATGTCTTTATGCTCATTTCCCAAATGTCCCCATGTTGACTTGACCTCTCCACTACAACAATATAAGGTCAGGAATCACGCCACACTGTAGGCTGACAACAGATACATGTTGTGACAGGGCAAAAAACACCACCAGTGTAAGAGGAAAAAAAGATTATCTCGTTTACCAGCACAAATAGCTATCTCTTTTTTATCTATAGATTTATGGGTACAATAAGTAAAAACAACAACCCAACAACCAACCATGCTTGTTGGTTTTATGTCAGAGGAGTTACTTACATTTGAAAGGACTTTAGTTTCTACACTTTGATTTTAGAAGAAAGGGTCTTATAAGAGGATAAGAAAAATCATTTGTTGTAACGTTGGGAACAAAGTACATTTAATGAGTATTTCACAGTAGTGAGTCGACTCCCCACTGAACCTTCTGGAGGTATTTTTGTCCCATAATTCAATTAAACATGTGTATTTATGTCCTCATAATTACTTGGACTTACTTGAACAGTAGAGATTACCTAAAATCTTACTTGAACAGTAGAGATTACCTAAAATCTCTTTAAAAAAATATATTTTTGACATAACATTGATGCTTCAGTGTCGTAAGGCTCGACTGTCTCTTATCCCTCCTCAGATTAGAGAGGTGAGGGATGACCTGAAGGGCAAATCGGTTAAGAAAACAAATAACCAGATTTTTTTACTACTTCTGTCCTTATGTCATAATATTAATACTGCCTCTAATCCAGCCAGCATTAACACTGCATTAAATCACTTGGACATATGTACACATGCCCATAGAAGCACATATTACACACATTTAAAGGGCTCAGCTGAGGTCTGTACTGGAGAATATACAGTCATGATCTTGAATTCTGCAAAACTATGAACGCTGTCACTTTAATCATGATTACAATAATCCAGATATGAGGTCAAACTGCCTTTACAGTCTGTTATCTTCCCTCAAGGACATTAACTCTGCATGAAACCCCTGCCGAAGCACAGTGTTTATCTCCCTGATCTATGCTAATCTTTGTACAGCCTTAGTGGGGCTGAACAGTTTGTCCTTTAGTTACACTTCTGCATATGCAAAAATGCCATGACACCGTCTGTACAAACAGTTGTAAACTGATTGGCCTAACTTGACCTGGGGATCTTCCTTCTTCCTTCTCAGACCGGATGTCATTAAAGATCTTTAAAATATCTGACCACAAACAAGACTCGTACTTAATTAAAAGCCTGAGACACAGACACAAACTCCAGTAGCTGGAAGGAAGAAGTGCTCAGTTAGAGTTAGACCAATTTAAAAATGCTTAAAACTACAAGTCTCTGAAGTTGGTGTAGATCCAAGAACTTCAGTACAAAAACAGAGAGTACTAAGCTTCTGAGACATGTTTTGGAGTGTGTGTTGATCATGATGAATCATTATCGGACAAATACATTGTGGTTTTAACGTACTATTTGTATTTGATCTGATGCAACACACAACATTTGCATTTAAACTGTTTGCACTTGTCAATATGGTGCCAAATTCTTCAGTTTAATTTTCATTTTGTTCCAATTTCACTGAATTTCCTTTAATTTCATCCCCATTTTTATATGTATATACTATAAATGTATAAGAGAGATATTAAGGATTTAACAAGATGTCACATTAAGACTATTTGAGACCTTTTTAACATCCATACTGGCAAAAAAAAGTACAATGAAGGAAAATCGATGGTTGGTTTCATGTTGGTTGCCGTTAGCCTCAAGCAGAGATGAGGAGCAGATTACAGAGGTAAGCTCACTTTTTTCTAACTCCACACCCCCAGATTTCTTCTCAGATTTAAACTTGTGGTCTTCAGCCCCAAACCAATATATAATATGCGGTTATTTATATATGATGCATTATTTTTTTAAGAACACTTACTTGCAGTAGTCTAGTCTATGCAGTAGTGGCAAAGATCATTTCCCCCTACGAATATTGTCACAAGTTTCCAGATATATAGTTTGATAAATGAGGGCCCCTGGAGTAAAATTGGAAATAAATCTGAGACTTAAAAAGAAGAAGCGGTTGTTACTTGTTGTGTACAAACTTATCAATTACGTAATCGGGAAGACAGTCAAAACTTTGATATGTGAAGAATAAACTGGCAGCTTCGAGGAGAGAATGGAGTCTTCTGAAAAAAAGAAGAATTAAAGAAACATTTTCATTAAAGGAGCATTTTTAGTCTCTGATTATTAAAGTAAAGTATTAAAGGAGGGAACAGAAGAAACAGGGTGAAGGGGGATAGGCCTTCATATCCCACCAACTGGAGCAATAGACCACCAGATGGATGTTACTTTTCCGGCTGCTCAGACCACACCAACGATGATTTGGCACCAGATGCAGTCGGGAGGAGAGAGAGATCTTTATGTGGTATTCTGGGACATTGCTAATGCCTTTGGCTCACTGTCACGTAACTTAAGGTGGGAGGC